AAACAGTGCTGTGGCCTGCACGACAAGTGAAGACAGACCATCTAAGTATCTAAGTAAATACTTACTTACTTAAGTAAGTTAGTAAAGTAAGTGTATGCTTTTGATTGAAGATGGCCTTGAATTCCTTATATCAAATTTTTGAGAAACAATGTCGTAAAGGGTTTCTTAAACTTGCCCGGGCACATGATGTGCAATCAATGGTTAATCAACGTATGTTATAATTATCAAGTGATATCGAACCTTCTAGTAGTGCATACCGAATATCAAAATTTCAGTTTACACATAATGAACGTCGTTACGCAAAATATCTGGGGGATTAAGAAAGAGGAAGATCTAACTGAACCTAATTCAAATTTGTGTCATTATATTAATAGCGATTGCAGCAATGGAAAGCGAGGAATAACAGTCAAATTATCCCTTGCTAAACATTAGGTAGTTTTGGAAGTTTTGGACCAGAATGCAAAAAAGCTGAAATATAGGGTCCTTAAAAATCCATGCACTTGTAACTTTTTCAACACAACCTTATTGCTTTGAAAATTCTTAGCTTTTTACTTTTAGGGATACGCAATCAACGAGGGTACATATCAAACCTTGATTCTTGGCATCAGCGAGGCAGCCTCTGATGGACTGGGAAAGATACGCAAAGCTATTATGCCAGAGAAGATTGAGAAGGGAGATGTGAAACCGCCAAAGAGGTACTCACTTGATTGCAAGATACTTGATAAAGGAATGATTATAATTTTGCAGGGGTAAGCTGTGGGCAATCCATGAGAAGGAGTTGGATGGTTGGGCTCTACCCTTTTTGGGTTCGGATAAGTCTATTGTGAACCGTTCGCAGTACTACGACTGTGTGACCAACAACAAAAGACCCGTAGGAATTCAATTTGTTGTTTTGATTAATCTATTTTCAAATGCTTTTGTTGTTTTCTCCAAATAGCAGAACCAAATAAAAACCGCTCATGCTGTTTTACTATAGCGCGCATGAAGTGACTTTGCAACTATCGCGAATATCAAGGCGCGCCCATAGCCAGATACTTTTATCACTGAGTAAAATCCAACTTCAACTAAGAAAAGTTTTTAAGGTCCAAATTGAAACATATCTCCGTGTCTCCTCCCTCTTATGGGGAGTACTGCTTGCTATGTGGTTGACTTTATTCGCCATACTTGCACAATTCAAATTTACCAGAGACATTCTGAAGAAACATCCCAATATTTGCAGCTTCAACATGTTCAAGGTAAGTAGTAATGATAATAAGTACTGGATTACGGTACACATGGTTCATTGCAGAGCTCTGGCCCAACGGAACTGCAAATTGCTGAAGCCTCGTTCATCTACTGGTTTTTCGGCTATGGATATTCCGAGCGTAAGCCAATAGGGGAGAAACATACTGGGACGCCTGATCAGAAGGTAAATGTCCTTTTCTTTCTACCAACGAGACGGGATAGTCTTCCAGAAATAGTTGCTTTCAAAAACCTTAGAAAGATAAGCTATTAAATTGCAGTAAATTAATATTTTTGCTGTAAGAAGAAATGAATGATAAAAGAATCAGAGCGTAATATGGCTTCTGAACTTCTGCATTTTAGCATAAGCTTTTGTGGAAGTGGTGTTCAGGTCCGGAGCCTTTAACCTATAACACAAAAACAATCATGTATGGGGTGACCTAGTCAGTTGTTGCAGAAATTTTTTTGGAAAACACTGTATCGATCTGCCGTAGATAAGTCGCACCCTGGAAGATAGGCCACGACCGGCGCGGTTCAGCTGAATGTGCACACCTGAAAGTATTGGCTCTGATGGAACGGTTGTGTGACGGCCACGCGTTGCTCCTATGCCTGATGGTGTAAAGTTATCCACAGAAAATGTGAAAATTACGAAAATTCGTCTACACTAAGGATATGGCTTGTGCAGTTGTAAACAGTTCCATTATGGGTATAACTTGCTAATGATATGAAAGCCCAAAGCGCCGCTTCGCGACGCTTTTCTTACTAAGGTATGTGCGTAAGTTTCCTCCAAGAAACACCTTAACCAAAGCGCCGCTTCGCGGGAGTGCGTGTACGTGCTTCCGAAAGAGACTTCGGCCAAAGCGCAAAAACTTCTCATGAAGGAGCGCAGCTTCCCGCACTCACACTTGAGATGATTTTTGCGGAGTGAGGTTGTTAATTTTTGGCGGTCCTTTCCAAAACTTGTGAAGATCTGG